CCATTCCGTATTGCTCTCAGCGGCGTCCACCGTAAAAGTTAAGTGTCTTCTCTGAACTCGGCGATTCGCGGCCAGCCAACGAACAACGTCCGTACCCTCATTTTTATTTTCATCATTTTTTCGTCATGCCTTACTTTGTTACTCTCTCCCTTTCCCTCCCACTCTCAATTCTTCTTTTTGTTCTTCTTCTACCGACAGTCCGGCTATTTATACGCGAAGCACTCAATTCTCAGGAGTCTAATGTTTCATTGCAACTATTTCTTGGTAAAATTGTACGACTGAATAAATTTTATTGTACGGAAATATTTTTCTTTAAATAATACAAAAATTAATTTAGATTAAAAAAAAAATTTTTTTTTTTCAATAATGAAAAAAATTGATTAATTTAATCAAAAGCTTGAAACAATAAATAATAACAATATGTTGTAACTTATCAGGACATAGATGATTTCCATTTACATGATATCTGTCTGGATGTATCGAAAAAAATAGGAAAATAAAAAATGGTCCATGACATTTATTAAAGCCGGTTTCACAAGTTAGTGCGTATATCTTGACAGGTATCACGCAACAGACGTTGAGCTGATCTTCTTTCTATGCTAGCAGTTGACAAGCGGAATTCCCTCGCGACCACCAAGGCCTCTGACTACACTAACTACTATTATGATTATCGAGTACTACTGAATAAGAGGATAGGAGTATATGTATGTACTCGAGTGTCTTGTCTATTTCCAACTCCGGCGCTAGTTGAAATATCTCCTCTCCTGTCACAAAGTTATGGCCATTCAACTATTATTTATTTTAGATTTTTTAGTTTTATTATCTGCCCTTGTACTCGTGTTCGAACCTTCGGCGACTTTCATAATCCATAACACGGCTAATTGTAAATCACCGTGCCTCGGTTACACTTTAATAATGACCATTAGCGTCATATTTATCTGGGGAATAATAAACTTCGACCATAACTGTAATGATCTACTTTATCATTATTATTATTGTTTTTTAAATTTTTATTAATAACATTTTTTTTTAATTATTTATTACCTTTAAAAATTTTAAATAAAAATTTATTTTTTTTTCTTAACAGTTTAAAAGTTTGAAAAAAAAAAAATTAAATTTTGCTTTATTAAATAATGAATTTTGTTAAATTGCACTGTACTTTTTTAACTATTGACGTTTTTAAAGATATAAGCTCATCCCGATTTTACACTCATCAAGAGCTTTCATTTGAGTACCCACATGCATTTTGATATATTTTTCATATATACATATATATAATATATATAAATATATGAAAAATTGATGTGGGTACTCAAATGAAAGGTCTTGATGAGTGTAATGTCGGGATAAGCTTATATCTTTAAAAATGTCATTTCATCATATAGATACACTGGCCAAAAAAATTTGCTTATTCTCTTAATAATATAGATTACTCTGTTTTTCTAGTTTTCAAACAGAAGAATGCTATTAAATATAAAAAAAAAAATAAATAAAAATAAAATAAAAGTTAATGAAGTAAAACTAAAATTTTTCTATTGCTTATACCGTTACCGTCTACAGTTATTGCTAATTTGAAATTTATGATCACGTAGCATAATACAGAATGAATTGAAACTATGAAAACAAATTACAGTGGTGGGCATTCCGTGAAGCGAATGTACAGAAAAATTGAATAAATCCAAGTGGTAATTTTGTCCCTGCATAATAAATAATAAATAATATATTAAGAATAAGCAATAATTTATCCGGTGCATAAATAAATAGGAAGCATTAAAAATAAAAGTACCCGATATTATCAATACAGTAATGTGTATTTATTTAATAAATCACAGCGCTCAACAAAAGAGCATGTAACACATCTAGAGGATATACATAGAATGAAATATAAATTTATAACCCACACGCAATCTTTAGGACGCGCGACACGATACGATAAACGCTGAGTATAACCAAAGGCAAAGACATTTGTGGTGCGCAACAATTCTTCCTCTGCAGTCTGCCTGTGAGCGCGTTAAACTGTACATATATACCCATCCACATACATACATATACATTTACCGGATCGAATGGGCGACAGAGTCGGCAATTTGCTCGCGTTTGATCGCCCGAACACCATATTAATCCTCTCAAGCTTTCCTCTTGTACTCTGCCCTCAACAATTCGCTCGAACACTTCTTTATTATTTTTAAAACATTTTATCACCCTCCAGTCTCAATAACATTTTTTACTTCTCGTCATTACTCTATATTATCACTATTATTTTCAAATTAAATTATTATTTCCTCTTTTATGCCCCAAACTATTTTTTTTCACGATTATTGTTTCGGTTCCGGTGTTTAAAATTTCTCCGCTGAGGTTTCAATTCTTTTTTACAGCGCAATTTTGAAAACTCACTTAAAAAAATGAACTCTATATAGCTCATAAATATTTAAGATACATCTTCTTTAAATCTCGTCATATTTTTTTTGCATATACAGAAAAAAAGATTCATTTTAGCCAAGAAAATATTTTTCTTCCTAATTATTTTCTAGAGCAAAAAAAAATTTTTTTTTTTGACACAAGAAATTTCACTTATTCCAACTAAATTAATTCTTTGCTTTAAGAAATACGTATCCAAAAAATTAAATACAAAGATAGAAGTTAATTTTCATTAATATTTTTATTAATTAACGTGTCAAATGGGAAGATTAAATAATGTTGAATCATTTTTATTCATTCAATACGTATAATTGCACGCTCAAATAATATAAAATGGGTATCAAATATTCAAGAGAAAATTTTGTCAAGGTGAGAAAATTTTTTCCTCAGCTGAAGTAGGTGGCGCTGCTTCCCTAAAGTATCTAAAAATCTTGATCAAATATAAAAATTTATTGTATCAAGTATTTATGATAATTTGAATTAAGAAAAAATGACTTCTACCAAGAATAGAATTAAAAGAAAAATTTTTACTTCAACCAATACAACTTCGAGCCAAGAATTTTGTTCTCCAGTCAAGAAATTTTTCTTTCTGTTAACCAATCATCAGAAATAGCAAAAAATCGATTTTTCAAAAACTTCACACTAATAGCGCCCTTAATCAGCCGTAAAATCAACTTATCAAAGCAATCAGCTTTTTAAACAGCTATCCATCTAATTTCCACCCATAAAACTTTTTGCTCATCAGTTACATCATCAACACAAAATACCTTCCCATCAATTTCAAATCAGCGGGGAAAACGACCTCCAAAAAAAAACAATCTATTTTGCAGCAAATCCATCTAATGCAGCGATACCGTTTCTCTTTAGCAGCACATATGTACAATCTATAGAACATTGGTTGTCAGATTGCCTGCCCGGCATCTAACATATAGAACATAACTTTATCGCGGCTTAATAATAGTAGTTTGGCGTCTGTGGAGGTGAGCGATAAGTGTACACCTCGTCGGCTTGACGCGCGTCTCTCAAAGAGAATTTTCTTTCAAGCTGCTCGATCTCTTCCTTCTTCTCCCTCTTCTCTCCACCTCCCGATCTTATTACACATTTTCCCCGGGAACCCTCCTCCAAGTAAGTCCAAGCAGCCGCCTTACTATTGCTATTACTAGTACATCTCACATCTTACACTTACATCTCTACCTGAGCTGAAAGTAGTGCCATAAACAACAACTATTATAGACTCCTTCACGCATTGCGTTGCGTGAATTCACCTCGCTAATCTTACGACGCCTGAAATCACTTTATCCGTACACTGGTCACGCTGCAACTTAAATTGTTCTTCACACTCCCTCCCTCCTTTTCTCTCTCACTTATTTACCGGCATTCCACACGAGTACAAGCTATATACATATAATACATACATACTGATTCTCATTGCTTGATTGCCCGTCGAGTACAAATAAAAATTTTCAAATAATCATTTTTAAATAACCATCGCGTGTTTGTCCGCGGAGGTAAAAATTAACAATTTATTGCTCGGGGTTTTATTTATAAATACTTTTTTAATCAACAGTAAATTGTTAATAACCTGACTTTTATTTATAATTATAATTATAATTGTAATAAAGCAACAGATAATATATATTTTATATAGATATAGATATAGATGTGAAGATAAATCTCGTCGCGTGTCCGGCTGAGGATGTGGTAAAAAGCTCCTTGAGTGCTTGCATACATACCTAAGTAGCTCAATAAGTTTGTGTATAAGTTTGTTCCAGTCGAAAGAATCGCGTATCTGTCGACGCTCGCATATAAGACAAGACAAGGACAGTTTCGACGTTAACCGATTCGTATCGTTTGCCCGGGGGGATTTTATGCACGACGGTGCGTAGGCGCCCCGATCTCTGTGAAAAATATATCTCGGCTCTTGCTCCGAGTCCTTCATGATGCCGGTTCATCTCGAGACCAAGAATAAGTAGAACAGAGGAGAGAGTACGCGATTGTACGTCTGTTAAGGCTGGCTCAGCGCATCACTTTGATTCCCCAGATAGCGCGTACACGTATGTCAGCCCGGGCATCTTGAGATACATGTATATTTCACTTTGCTTGCTATTGCACGCCTCATAGTGCTTTACTCTCAAATTATTAGATTTAGATTTTGGATTATTAATGCGAAGGCACAGGCCAAAAATGGCAACTTTACAATATTACATGATAATACAAAATACATATAGCGATCTGCACAAGGCAGCATCTGTAAGTACAAAAATAAAAAGAGAAACCGTATGAAACATTATTTTACATTCGGATTTTATAAATTTGATTTTAATTTTCAATTTTAAGAGTTTTTAATTTTTGATTATTGATTTAACAATTTACTCAACTTCACTAAAACGATTTATCAACTTAATAATCAGTTTAAAAATCTAACTCTAGACTATTTGAGTTTACAATATCACTAGGTAATTCTTCTCTAATTAAAGGCTTTTGAAGTTTCTAAACTTTTATTTTATTTTTCACTATCAAATATTGATACATTATTATTTATTCATTATTTATACATCATTGTTGTGTAGGCTGGAGGAAAATTAGGGCTCTTCTGGGTGAGGAGAGGTTATTACTGTGGGGACGAACCCGTAGGGCGGAGTGTCGCCCCGCGAACTGTCCGGCTGGGATGAGGACCTTCGGGCGCTTCGAGAAGGTTTAACAGTGCCTCGACACTTTATGAAGAACGCCAGTTCTTTCTTTAACTCCTCTTTGAAGGGAAGATTCTCTTTTCGAGCATATCCCCAAACGTCAGACACCATATCCGCTGCTGATATCAGGAGGGTTATTGAGACGCCGACTACCAGGACCAGGAAAACTCCTCCGACGTTGTCTAGAGTTAATTCTGTGGCTGCGCTTCCTTGTGATTCGTCCTGGAAAATTTTATTTTGATAAGATGAAATGTTTTTTTTTTTTTAATAGTAATTTGAATTTGCATTAAAGGCAAAAATTTTGGACTAAAATAATTTTGAAGGATTATATTATTTTAAATCAAGAAAAAAATTTTGAATTAATTATAATTTACTTAAATTGATAAATAAAGATAATAAAAGTTTGTAAAATTATAATACGGGATTATATGAAGATAATGATCGCCAAAAACTGGTTAGCATTATTAAATATAAATTTAATAAATATATTTTAAAGTACAGACTAGGATAAAAAATAAAATTATACAGTAAGTATTTCTCCATGGGAATTAAATAATTAATTTACTTGTTTGCTCGTTGTATAAAATATTATAAATAGAAACCGGCAATTTGCTAAGTAATTACACGGCGTAAAGTTTAAGTCTATTATTAAGTTATGGAGTTGCTACCAAGTTTGGCCCTCAATTTATTCATTGATCCCTAACGCCTTGAGAAAGTAATTGCTATATTTTTTCCTACAGATTCTCTAGAAATCAATAATCAAGGGTCATATATTTTAATGAGTTAATTTATATCCTCTGAAAAAATAAAAAGTAACAAATTAAATTGAAATAACGTAAATTGAAGGTCTAGCAATAAATTACAAATTCTAACCGACCTAAAACCCGCATTTAGGAGCCATAATTTAAATAATTAAAAATAAATAAATAATTACAGAGCAGCCACCACCGCCACGTTTTTCGTTCCACCATTTCTTCTTTAGCTCAGAAAGGATTCCGCTTTCTTGCAATTGTAGAACGGCTGTGTTCAGCAGGTTTCTGTATGGGAAATCTGTAATTTTCAAACACTTTATAAATTTTTATTTAATTTTAAACATCTTAAAGTTTTGAATTTTTACTGCAATTTTATTAAAAAAAAATTTTTTTATCCGCTCTTTTGGCTTTAAGAATTTTTTTTTCGAGCGTGTCTCAATAAAAATTTTTAACTTCCCGCTAAAAATCTCAGATTTTCAAAAATCGGGAAGTTATTGTTTTCACCCCGTTTTACACAAATCGAGTTTTCATCAGATCTCGACGTTTGAAGGTCACAGGAAGCTTCCCTGACTATTTTTACGATGATGTCCGTACGTCTGTATGTATATATATATATATATATGTGTGTGTGTGTGTGTGTGTGTGTGTGTGTAAACCTCTTGTAACTTTTGAACGACTTGACCGATTTCATCGCGGTTGGTGTCATTCGAAAGGGCTTCACTAAACTTAGATTTCCTGAAAATTTGAACTGATTCGGACCCGTAGATTTCGAGAAAATGCAAAAAAAGTGAAAAAAAAAGTTGTTTTTTTTTATTTTTTTCGAATATCTCCGAATTGGCTGAACCGATCGGTCTCAAAAACTAATCAGCTCTTAACCTTGAAAACCTCCATCGATCGCCATCAAAAACGTTAGAATCTGTTGATGCGTTCGTGAGATATCGTTGTCGAAAAAAATCGAAAAAAGTGTTTTTTTGTAATAACTTCGAAATTCATGGCTCGATCGATTTAAAATTGAAAATTTTTCATGAAACTTCAAAAACTGCGTCGATTGCCGCCAACCGCGTGAAAATCGGTTCATTCATTCAAAAGTTATTGCCGTTTGAAAACTCAAAAAATTGTGTCTTTAAACTGCTATTAGAGTTTTGAGCTCAAAGAGCTCAAATCGACACAAAAATAATATTTTTGAGCTTGAAGAGCTCAAAAACGTAATGTGTAGTTTGAAGCGTTTAAGTACAAAATGAGCGGGAAGTTGCAGGGATGGCCTTTAGGGTGAACCGTATTTCTAATTTTTTTTTTCATTTTCTTTTAGATTTATACATTTTTTTCGCATCAGTAATGCAGTATATATTGCTATAACTTTAAATTAAGAAAGAAGGAATTACTTTTTCGCATGGCGATTCCATAACCCTTGTTGTCCAGCTCCCCGCCGATTTGAGTTAAATCGCAGTATCTTTGAGAAATATACTCGATACTACTGGACTCCATGAGAAACGCGTAGTCCTCATTGAGAGCCCGATCTCTTCCTGCATCGTTGCTCTCCGTCAGGACCTCAGGATGCTCTGACATGTACTTGTACATCGTCGCGTACGTCGAATAATTGGAACCCTTTAGACCGACATAATTCTTTCAAAGTGCAGATTAGAATTTCATGTCAACGTTCTTCAATATTTGGAGATAAGATTACCCACTCTTATCAATATTTATAAGTTGACATTATTGACATTCATGACTTTTTTTTTTCTGGGGAAGGGACTAGAAAATTACTGGTGAAAATTATTATAGCGTGGATTGAATATTGAGCGAAATTTTATTTAACTTTTCACCAATAATTTTTTACATCACATTATTAGAAAAAATAATTTTGAGTTATTTTATTTAGATTTAAAGCTGGATCATTATTAAAATTTATAAAATAATTGTTTTTTTTCAGGATTAAAACACAGAAAAAGTAAATTTCAAGGGTTGTAAATATTTTCGGGTCATAAATTGTTAAGATTAAAACACCAGGACAGGATATACAAAAATTAATAATTAAAACCAATTGGAAAAAGCATTACCCACAATTTAAACTAAAAATTAGCCAATTATTTATTAAATTTTCAATTAAAAATATGAAAAAAAATTTTTTTCAACTGATGAAATGAGTAATGTAGATTACTTTTTGATAGAGAGTTGAATGGCGACGAAAAAAGCAGAAAAACTAATTATTATCCTTAATATTAAACATAAAAATACTTGCGTCCGTTGACAAAAATCTCGGTCTTCTTCTTCGCTCAATATAGTAGCTATTGATGAAAGAAAAGCCAAAAAAATAGGTAACCTACCTGAAAGAACTTGTAAGTCGCGCCGTTTTTTTTGGCGCCGTATGGAATTTCCCCGTTTAACGCTGCAAGGTCTTCCGCTGACTTTATAGGCCTTACGATGGTCTCTACCGTGAGAAAGGCCGCTAAATTAGCCGTGTAAGAGGCCGTCATCAGCATACAGAAGAACCACCAGGCTGTTGCCAGCATCCTCGTTGATATTGCGCTTTAATATATATTCAATTAACGTCTCGCTAATATGCACGAATTTTATTGGCCCGTAAATAATGCAAGTACGTACATTGGCGCCACTTCGGAACCTTGCTGCATGATACTTCCGATGGTAAACCAAAGGCAGTTTGAAAATGTCCACTGATTTTCAAGTTCCGTGGGGTTCTCTACGCAAGGGTACGGATTGTTCCATTCTGGTGAACATATTCGTCCAATTATAAAGGCTATAAGTGATGTGAAAAATAGAGCTCCGAACAGGGCGATCCATACTGCTCCAGAGAACGGCGACAAAAATGAAAACAGACTTGGTGGCGCTTTTTTTGGCTTTTTGTATAATATACTTATTCCTTTAATTATAGAGAAAGTTTTTTTGTAATTAATTTTGACCAAAATCCTCTTAATATTTTATTTTTTTGGATATATTTACCCAAATGCATGAAAGGCATCGTAAAGTCGACCACTTTTTCACGTTCTGATGTTATTGTCAAATCTGTGATGGCTAGATCGGCTTCCTAAAAGCAATATTTCATTAATATCTCCTTAATAATTCTCAAAAAAAAGTTCCATATTTTACAGCCGTTGGTAAAGAAACTGACTATCGGTAAAGCGGGTAGTAACTTATCGATGGTAATATATTCGCGTTTAATAACAAAAGGTTACTATTTTACCCACAGAGATAACGTCAATTATCAAGACTTCTTCGTTATCTTTAGCCAAGCTCAAGAAATTCATTAAAAACGTAAATTCAAACTAGGTTAGTCATAAATTTATAATAAATAAGCGTCAAATCACTAAAAACTCCTAAATTACAACACTTTGGGACAGTTAAATTTTTTTGAAAAGTATCTTTCTAATGTTTTATTTAAAAAATAATTTTTAGCTGATTCTTACCCCATCAATAATTTTTCCAAGCATCCCAGTCCATTTTCCGGTTTTTTCATCGTAACCACCGGTGGCTTTATCAAGTTGTTCCACAAGTGTATAGTTAAAATGCAGAATTTCACTTAGTTCGTGTATGATATCAATAGCAAATCCTTCATATCGATCATTGCCCGATTTTGTGGCAGCCGATTCTGTCAGCATATTAAATGGATCCAGCTAGAATCCGAAAGACTCATGATAAAATTTTCTTAAATGCTCATATGTGGCAATATTAAGTTTTCTGATATTTCTAATTATGCACGGAAAAAAAAAAAATAGAAAAATTACATTATATAATGTAACGTGGAGCTCCGCGATAAAAACTGGAAAAATCACATTGTAGAATGTAATATTTACATTGAAAACTCTGAAAATTAAAATTCAAAGTTTGAATTGAGAAAAATTTTATTTTGAACTGTAATTTTTCTAGTTTTCTTTTTTCCGTGTGGAATGATATTTAAAGTTGCTATATCAAGACATATATATGGCCATATTAGGCTTGATATATCTTAATATGGTTGTATATTACCTTATATGTGCATATATAATTTTTTTCATCGATATAATCATATCAAAAATGATATATGTGCATACCAGGCCATATATTTCTATATCAAAAAATTTTTCTCGTGAAATTTTAATAATGATTTTGGACCTTATAACTTATAATCATAAATGAAAAGTTTTATACAACTTAAAGAAAGTCCTTCTTCAAAGAAACTTACCAATGATATCAAAACGGTGAAAGTTTGGTTAGCCAAATCGATTAAACCATTGGGCAATGCGGGAGGAGGTTCTGGAATCCACTCGATTTTCCCGGTACTATTCCAATTGCCAATAGTTTTCAGACCGTCTGTTGTCAGTCTGAGGACATTGAGCTTGAAGTCACTGCGGAATCCATTTGTATGGAATTTAATAAGACCAGTGAGTCCTTTCATTTCGGTCTGCAATGCAATATCAACATAACTATCGAAAATCAACTTTATTAATTATTAACTGGCAATACACACAGCTCGGATGAAATTTCCAAGTGAAGCTCCGTGATCCCAATTATCAATACCGTCGCAAGCTAACTCTTTAACATCTCCCTCGACGGCTTCCTCTAGTTGCTTGAAAGCGTGGGAAAACAGCTGGACCGCATCGTATATCAGTGCCCATTCGGTTCTCATCTTCGATAAGTCTTCCAGACCCATGTCGGCCAAATAATCATTGAATATTGACACGGAATCTGGGTCTTCTGGGTCCAGGAGACGAACTCCGGTTATGTTGACGCCAGAGTGACTATAGGGATCTAGATCAAGCGTTTGCAGGTCCTTCAATCATAAATTCAACATTAAATTAGGTCATTTTGATTAAGCACCCTAAAACAATTCAAAATTTGAAGAAATACATTTTTTATCTTATCATTTAACAAAATCAATGAAAAAGCTATTTTTAATTTTCATTTTTAATCATTGGGCTGATTTATATAAAATCAAAGTCAAAGTTTATGATCAACTAGTTGCTGATCAATGTTTTCGATAAAGTTTGTTCAAACTTTACGGCAACTTCTAAATTTGCAACTGTTGTACACAATATGACTCGAACTTACTCACAAAGTTGGCGTCAAGCTACTGCCGGAATTTTTCGAAAAGTTGCTGACGGAAACTTTACATCAACCCTAAAAGTTACATTAAAACTGACATTAATTCATTGATATTTACAACTATTTTCGTCAACGATCTTTAATTCCGGTTCTAGCTTCACGCTTTTAGCTTCAGCTGACTGAGCAATAAATTTATCATAAAAAATTGATTAGTTACCAATGAAGTGATGATTACTTTATGACGTTCAGAAAGGATTCCAACTTGCTGAGACTGCTTCAATATTTCTTCAAGCGCGGGGTAGTAACAGTCGATAATAATGTTCTCTTCTCCAGAGTTTCTTACTTGTTTGAGAATTCCCCGATAATCAGGTCCTTCACCTAAGAAGCGGAGGGTCACGGGATAACCTTTGGTGTCCCACCTTTGCAGCAATCTGTTCAGACGAATAAGTCCCTCTGTACTGTCGTACAATATTGTAAATTTTTCCCATTTGAATTCAGTTACCAGGTACAAATAAATCTATGCAAACAGTTTAATGGTTTTTATTTTACACTTTGAACTTTTATAGCCTGCCGCTGCATTATTATCATTCTTATGCATGATATGCAGTGTCAATGCATATTACATGACCATTAGACCGCCTAGAAGGCTAATTTTTCCAGAATAACTTGCAGGATAAAAAAGATAAATTTTTTTTATGGATGAGACTTTTTTTTTATAAAGAACGTACCAATGGAAGAGTTTCGGAATGTGGATAGAAGTTGATAGCCTTCATACGAAGGAGATTTGAATCCCACCGAGCTACCAAGTTTGGCAAATCCATAGTGTCACACATACTTTGCACATGGATTGACGAGACCGAATCTTCTGGGCCAAATATCGCGGCAACTCCTTGGCCAGCAAGCGTGCAGACTAAAAAAATTTTTTTTTTTTTTTTTTTTAATTTCATTAGAAAAAAAAATTTTTTTTTAATTAATTGGCAAAAACGCAAAAAATCGGGCTCAGCCGGGATTTGAACCCGGGACCTCTCGCACCCAAAGCGAAAATCATACCCCTAGACCACTGAGCCAAGAGCCGGTATATAATAGTGAAACTGCAAGCGCTATACAGGTTACCGATCAAACGAGCACTTTCTAGCGCTCAATGGTCAAGAAGGGCCCTGCAAACCATCAATTACCTCCTTGGGAAATGTCGAATACATCGTCACCGATCGTTATCACTTCTGGCTTGAAGAAAGGATCCGCAAATTCATCGGTCTCTGTTCTCATGGTGTTCACCGCGTTTATTGAGAGCTCAAATGCCTGCCTCGTCAAGTCTTCTTCAGAAAACAAACCTCCTAAAAATATTTTAATCGTCGCAGTAGGAGTTGCTTAGTGGCTTATCGTAATTATGAATTATTATCTAATTAATTGATTTATAAGTATTAAAGATAACATACCTAATATGATACTTTTTGAAAATGCTATGACACTCGGTACGATAAGAAAGTATAAAAATACATTGTTGAACATGATTAAGCCCTATAAAACAAAAGTATTCTTTTGATTTTCTTTGATTGTATATTTAATTACTATTACTATCATTATTAAGAAAGTATTCTAGTCTAGAAGCATGCAATTATAACTTTTTTTGAAACTTAATCCAAAAAATCAACAAAAAAATTTTTTTTACGATTTATTTACTTATATTTCGAGAATACACAAAAAAATTAACAAAGTTCGTAAAAAGTAGATTTTTTCCACTTAGGAATTTTTTAAAAATAGTAAAAGAAAAAATTTTGACTTAATTTTGATAAGAACTATAAAAAGATAGATACAAAAGGTTCATAAAAAATTTCAAGTAAATCGGTTGATAAAAACTTGATGAATAAAATTGGAAAAGAAAATTTCAAAAAAATGTACAGTTATAAAATATCTAATTTCATAAAATTTTTAAATCAGCAAATTTTAAAGATGTCAAAAAAAAATTTCAATTCTTAAATTTATATACAAGAATTCTCTTAATCAATCACACTAGTCATAAAAGACTCACACACTAATTCACATGCGAAATACATGGATGAGCACTTAGCACTTTGACATATAATGTAAACTAAAACGAACACGCACAAGAACGTAAAGCTCAGTTAGTTCAAAGCATAAACATTTATGTCTACTCAGCTGCAACTTCATATATTCCGAATCTATAGTCCATAATGTAAATGTTTATTGAGCTAATTGCACTATTGAGTAAAAAGGGTTAATGATTTACCAATAAATAGCCAATGGTGTTTACCAACAACAAACAAACATTATAAAACCGCTAATATATATCGTTATTAGAGATTACATAGTTTAAATATTTGCTCAGATGATATCGATGTTTCGGACAAAATTTTCGGCAAAGTTCGTTCAGGCAAAAACGTTTAATTACGTTTTGGAAAATACAAAACAGTAAATTGAATGCTCAGGAATAGAACAGTATTAATAGACTCCAACGTGGCGACGTTACGCTTTTTATAATTTTATATTCGGTGACACACTTAGTAATTGCTTGCGTTTAATTTTTTTTTTTTGAACTTGTTTTTTTGTTGTTTGTTTTTGGGAGAAAAATTTAATTAAAAGGAAAAGGCAAAGATAAATATTAAATGTTACCGTCGTAATTGAAAGGGCAAGTTAAAGTGAACTCAATGGACGATTTCAAGAGGAGGTAATTAAATGTTTGAAGAAGTAATATTAAGAGGAAAAACATAAACACAAGAAAATAAAACCGGCAAAGCTGTAATGAAAAGGCTTACCTTTTCAATAGGAGTAATATGCAAGTAAAAAGATATATTATCCAAAGAAGTTTAATTAAATTTTCAGAAGTGTTGTTGATTGTTCTATTTATTTTGTTCTATTTATTTTAAAATAATTCAACTGAGCGGAGATCACTGTTTGGTTGCCGGTAAGCGCAAGCGCGGGTACCCGAACGCTTTTAAACATCAGGCTTAACTAGACTGAAAAGTTTAAGCTAAAAACTAAAAAGTAAAGTTCGTCGCCCCACTACTCACTTGGTTCACCAGCAAGCATCTCGCCATTCTCCATTCACATTCTCTACTCCTCGTCTATTATTATCTTTTTTTATTTCATAATCTTTTTTTTATTTTTCATTTTCACTGCGACCCATTATAAGCGCCGTGACTCTGCCTCTGAGACGAGAATAGCCAGAGCTTTAAAGCACCGCACTCTCAATCCCCCAATCGCATTCACTCACGTAAAATGCCCTCGGACAAAATAAAAAAAAATATTACTAATAATTAAATCCGCTTTTTACTTTTTTATCATTCATTGTAATTGACGTTTTTATTTTTTTTTTTTAATCTTTGTGATGCGTGATGCTCGAAGAATGCTCAGCTACGTTTTGAGAGTTTTCCGTCGATAAAAATTGGAAAAAAATTATTGTTAGGTGAAAGGTTTTTTATTGGGTAGTTATTCAATTACTTGATTTCTATTTTTATTATACTGATGAAGAATTTTTTAATAATTTAAGAGCTTAATTGAATTTTAATAAATAATTTTTTGACATTAAATTGTTTAATAAATACGAGCGAACTTGCAGTCACTGTGTGACTGCTGTGACTTGTGAACTATAAATAAATAAAATTTTGCTTTATTAAATAATAACTTTTGTTAAATTGCAATATTCTTTTTTAACTAATTGACGTTTTTAAAGATATAAGCTCATCCCGATGTTACACTCATCAAGAGCTTTCATTTGAGTACCCACATGCATTTTGATATATTTTTCATGTATATATATATATAATATATAAATATATGAAAAATTGATGTGGGTGCTCAAATAAAAGGTCTTGATAAGTGAAATATCGGGGTGAGCTTATACCTTTAAAAATGTCAATAGTTCACAAGATACAATGTCATTTCTTAATTATTGACATTTATTAAGATATAAACTCATTTCGACGTTACACTAATCGAGACCTTTCATTTGAGT